ATCATATTAAAATATCCCACCCGGATATTATTTTCCAAATTAAAGAAATATTGCCCAAAAATTTATCTATAAGAAAACTACAACCTGAAGAAAATAAACATTTAAATAAGCTAATACTCAGATATATTGTTAAAAATAATTTACCGTTTAACCTATTTGACTCTAGTGAATTCAGGGATATATACGCGTTTATATTTAAAAGGGAAAATATGACAAGGCAAACTGCCAAAATATATTTGCATTCGATTTATGAAACATCAAAATCTAAAATCATAGAAACATTAAAAAATGTACAAAGCAAAATCTCCCTCTCCACGGATGTTTGGACAGGAATCAACTCTTTATCATATTGTTCGATTCTAAAAATTACCTGTTTGATTTAATAGAACTACCTCACCTGCATAATGGACAGGATATATCTAATTATTTATTAAAATCTTTTGAAACATTTGAGATTAAAAAAAATGTTATAGCAATTACACATGATAATGCAAAAAATATGATAAGTGCAGGAGAAATAATGGCCAATCATTATAGAGAAATATACAATATGCCCTTTTATAGTCATAGATGCCTAGCGCATGTTATCAATATAAAAGTTAAAGAATGGCTAAATATTTTTGATAAAAAATTAGAAAAAATACATAAATTGATGAAAAAACTTCACCTATCGCCAAAGTTCATGCAAAAATATATGCCCATCTCTGGCGGTACACGGTTACCGCTTGATGTGATCACTAGGTGGAATTCAAAGTATCTTATAATTTCTACAATAAATAAAGTAAATTAACCATAATCTTAAATGTTATATTCATAATATATTTTATTTTAAAGAATTTAGACGCATTTAAACGATTAGGGGAAGAATGTCTTCCCAAAGATGATTTTTATATTAATGTCAATGAGGAAAAATATTTAAAGGAAATTGAAATCTTCCTTAAACCTTTTTTCAAGATTACGTGTGAAGTTTCATCGGAAAATACAACTATTGGGACGGCGGTTTTATTCGTAGCTTCGATGGGGAATTTTTTGGATGAAAATTTTAATACACATGTTAATGATGATATAAGAAACGCTGCCAAATTAATGCTAAATAAATTTAAAAACTACGAAGGCTTATTTAATACCCTAACAAATTATATATCATGCTTCCTTAATCCGAAGACCAAATTAAAATATATGCCAAAAGCAATATTAAATGATAAATATTATAAAAAATTAAAACTAGTACACTTAGCCTATGCCTTGCCAATACACCAAGCAACGGCTTATCAATTCAATGATGATGATTCTCAACCTTACTCAATTATTATGCATAATTAAATGCGAAAGTAAATATAAATACTTAGAAATATAACTAACCTTGTATTTTTATATTTATTTTCAGAGATGCTATAGATAACCCAGATCCCATGAGAGATGAGATCTTGTAATATCTTAAGGAACCAGTAGCGCCAACTTGGACAAATATTTTAGATTGGTGGGAAAAGAACGCCTCGATATATCCCACTTTGTCGTTATTGGCTAGAGATTATTTAGCGCAACAAACGACAAGTGGTGCAAGTGAGAGGACTTTCAGTAAAGCTGTTGATTGCATGACAAAAAAAGAAATAGGATGGCCTCGGAAACCCTAAAACAATGCCTCAGTCTGAGTTATTGGGATGTAGATCTGTTGGAATAAATGCAAATATTAATATATACTTTGTTATGATTGTGTTTAGACCATATTAACACATATAATTAGTCCTAATAATATTTTTTTTAAACTTTAAACAAGCCCACCCCCATAAAAAATTAGTAAAATTAATGATTCTTTAATTCTAATATTCTTTATTATATATTTTATAACTTTCCGGATGAAAAAGATTTGGGAAATGAAAGATGAACAGGAGATATTTTTTTATATTATAATATATTTATTTATTATATTTTTGCATTATAATTGTAAAATTTTAACTCTTGAACATGATTTATAAAGATTTAAATAAATAAAGTGAAAAAATTTCAAAGTGGAGTTCTGAACACTACAAAATTTGAGTTATTTTTTTTTAATAAATAGATAAGGACAGGTTCGAACTAGCTCCTGTACTTTGTTTTAAAGAAATCAATAAATTACTAAAATTCTTAAACAAAGTCAGGACATTTTTTAAGGAGAAAAATAGTCTGGGGTTCATAAATATTATTTTTTTAAATTATAATCGATTATGTCTAACCACTATTCTTGAAGATTATATTTTTCCATATTTAAATCAGTAAAGAATTTAGGCAATAATAAATAAGATAATTTCCATACATAACGTTTTTTTCAAACGGTTTCTGGGTAATGTTAGGTTAACGTTTTTTTCAAACGGTTTCTGGGTAATATTAGGAATCCTTTATTTCCAAACGAAGGATATTATTTTGGAATTTCGATTAAGTTCATGTTAACAAAATTTCCGTTAAATAGAGTTTAAAATTCCTGAACCCGAATTAAACCCTAATTTGGTAATCTAGCAGATATTTTTCTCTTAATATTGTACAAAAGTTAAAAATAAAATGTTAAGATCTAAATGCCCATTAAGAGAAATACGATGGTCAAAAATTTTATACGACTAACCATATTTATTTTTTACCCCCTCCCAAGTCAAACTTATATACACCATATTTAGGTAGAACTAGACTTATTTGATACCAATCCATCATATCAATATTTGGTGCCGATAATAATCCTAACCTACGTAGTAATTGATATAGAGAGGTGGCGCTTGGTTTGCTAATTATTCAATAGTTCTAATTAGCTATCGATTGATGCCTCTAATAATCATATATTTATATACCTTAATAAGGTCAAGAAAAAACAACTTAAAATATATTGGTTGTGCTTGTGGTTTGTGCTCATTGCTAGTTTAGTCGATTTTTAGACTTAAGCCACGGATCTGGGTTTTACACAATTAACCAATTATAATCAATTGAGTTTCATAAAATTTAATAAACTATTTATTGAGTTCACGACTCAAGTTCATAACTCGACTTGAGATTTGAGTCGATTTTTTTGACTAAAAACTCAACTTGAGTCGTAGTTAAGCCAACTCGGCTGAGTCGTTTAACACATTACAATATATACTCCATATTTCTTATTCTCGACGCCATATTTCTTTTTTCGAATAATTCAACACAAAAGAAAAAAGTTAAAATTTTTAGGGTCAAGGGTGAACAATATATTAAAATATGATAGATAATTATAATTATTTTGTGTAAATCTATCTAAAAAACGATCTAAAGTAATCAATAATTTCATAATTCTTTTTTAAAGAACTCCAATTGGAGTCTTTTTCACAATCAAATTGTAATTTGGTCTTGACTAAAGAATCTTGAAAATTTGTAGGCGTTTTACGTACTCGTGATGATTTTTGTAGGTTGAGATTAAATATCTTAAAATTTTTTCAGTCTTAATTCTAATCAAATCGAAAGAATTATCGCTTCTTTTATATTGATCGTGGAATCAATATAATTTTTACCATCCACTATATCAGTACCTACTGATTATAAATACTTATTTAGTTGATCAATTGTTATTAATATTTCATAAAGGCTAATATAACATAATTTATATTAACGCATTGAGATAAAAGACCAAAGACTTTGACTGAATCATGATTGGAAACTCTGAGTTGAGTTCTATTAGAAAAGTAAAATAATACTTCACCAATAGCCTAAAAATTCTCAGAAATGAATCATGTAAATTAAAGAAGCCATTTAAGGGAACATGCGAGATGTTTTTAATGACCAGTCCACCTGTCTCTTAAGAGTAGGACTTGTATATTTACAGGATACATATAAATGTCTAAAAAATTATACAATGCAATAGATATATTAAAAAAATAAGAAATGATTACAATATTATGCAAATTTTGAACCACAAGATGCAATTTGTGGTTGTAGCAATGTATAAAAGAAACTTTTTTATTAATTTTTTTTTGTCGATCAGACATGAAGTTTGCATCATCATATGCTTGGCTTATTATTACATTCTTAACTCATAAGTAACGATGCAATCTGTAATGCTATCAATAAAAAGACACTGTAAATTAATAATTCCTATTAAATTTTCTTGGATTTCTTCAGAAAAAAATAGCGAATAATTATGCTCATGTTTTCACAATCTGATGCATCTTTTGCCTCATCAGCCTTAAGACAAAAAAAGGAACACACTTTTTTTATATTTAGAGGTATTTTAAGCACCAATCTGCCATAATAGATTACTTCGTTTTGAATATGGGATGATGTATATAGGGCATTTTTGGCTATTAATTCCATAATTTTATTTAATTCAGGATCTTTTTGGATGGTGTATGAAAACATTACTATAAATAGTCCAGAAGAATAAATCGTGTTTTCATCTTTTACAGCATCCGCAATTTTTGTTAAATCAGTCCCACGAAAAGATAAATTCTGTATGCTAAGAAATAGCATAAAATCAAATATTGATTTAAGATAATAACGATTAAGGATTTGTTGACTTACCAATATTGTTGTTATCTCAGTATTTTATTTATATTAAGATTTTTATCATGCCAAATTGTTATTGAATTTAAATGAGCTTTTGAGCTTTCATGTTTTAGTAGTCCATTTTTTTAAAAAATTTGGAGTTTTACTCATTCTTTTTAACATAAAATTATTCTATTTCCCTCCACTTCTCTAAAATCCCTTTTTGAATATTTCAAATATTTATAGTATATTATAATTGTAAAAAATAGATTTGTCATAGTATAAATATGCCTAAAATTTTTGAAAATAAATATCTAATTCAGAAGAGTGCTTGGTGTTTTATAAAAACACTCTTCTGTAAAATTGATCTGAGTGGAGTTAGAACCACAAACTAAAACAATCAAGCAGCAATATGTTTTTTTATATAAATATATTTTAAATTTATATCTAACTAACCTTACTCACAATAAACTGAAGACTTGTTATAATTTAATATAAAAATTTATGTTTTATAAAATAAAATATATAAAAACCTGAGTTTCTTCCGAGCATTTCAAAGAATTGATTAAAAAAGGTAAAAACGATTCCATGTATTTGTAAAATTTATCTCCGTAGCCTGCATATTACAAAAGAAATAAATTTGCAGTTATATTATTATTTTTATCGTATAAAAAATTTACGATATTTGTTTTCATTTTAATGTTTTAGTCTTTTTACAGTGTTTTGAATATAAGTGATCTATCAATACTTTTGGAAATTTTGACTAAATGATGTTTTAAAATATTGAGAGAGAAGCTAATTAATTGATCGATACATGCTTTATTTTAGTCATTAATTTTTTATAAATAGAACAAGTCTATAATTCAATTATTAAATAAACTTTTACAATATATTTTATCCAACATTGTAATTGGTAAACCTCTAACAAATTTAACTCCCTTAGATGCCTAGCTCTCTTCAAAAAAATTGGAAGTAACCGATCCTACCCTCCACCCTCCCTCCTGCTCATGTAGACGCTGTACGTAATTCTAATATAATGTATTTTAGAGGCTTTTTAATGAACTATTTTGACCAAATAAAAAAAATAATAAAAATAAATATATGAGAAAAGATAAAATTGAGTAAAAGAATCGTTACTTTGCGTTGGGACAATTTTTAATGAATAAAATTTTAACATTAAACTCTTATTTAATACTTTTAAATTTTAAAATAATATCCTGCAATATTTTTTTAAATAAATTAAAATATTTATGAATCTAAATCACTTGAAAAATCAGATTATAGTATTAATGAGGTATTATTTTAATAAAATTCTAAAGTGTAGGATTAGTAAATTTTTTTATCAAACCCATAATTAAATTTAGAATCATAAGTTAATCATAGTATAATACATTATTACTAAGGTTGACTGATAAATATTATATAACAACAAATAAAATTAACGTAATGAAATAGACTTCAAAAGGAAGGCTAAATTACGTCCCATAAGCCATGTTATATATTTATGCATCTGAAAATATCTCCCTTTTTTAATTCTCTAATTCAATTGGAAATTTTTCCAGAAAGAAAATAGAGATATTTTTTTATTGATTTAAACAGTCCTCTTTTAATAGGAGCTAAGATATGCATAGGTAGTTAGATTATTAAATACAGTGTCGAACCGAATCAAATCACGAAAACTGAACCGATGTATTAATTTTTTTAAATGAACTTGAACCGAACCTTTTTAAAAAAATTAAAAGAGCATACCGAGCCTTTATAACCGGTTTAAACAAGGTAATATAGGTTTTTATTTTATAAATATTAAATAATATACTTTAAAAAATTAAATAATATTTTTTATCGTTATCTTTTTTCAATTTAAACTATAATGTATTTTTTTTTAAATTATGTATTTTTTAAAAATTTATTATCTATTGTAATATAAGTAATAATTTAATTATAAAAATAAAAAATATAGCAGCAGAGGGCAAAAAATTAGCAAATATAAAGAGGTTAGCAATTTTATACCCTTCCCAACCTTATTGCAACTTCCACTAACTGTCAGAATAATAAAATTTAGATTTACTATTTGTATTCGATTGGTGTAATTACGAATAGTATATTATTTAATTAGTTCAAAGGAATCGAGTATGAATAATTCACTATTCGATTCATATTCGTTTTTGAATAGGCCTAGTTGTGAATGGTGGCCCTTATTATCCATTAATTCTCCAGTCAACATCGAAGGTGTCACTATGTTAAATTAAACAAAGGGAAATATAAATTCTAAATTTCTTCGCTGAGGAGCAACCGGAGATTGATTATTCAAGCCATTCATATCCTGTTTTCGCTTTAAAAATTATTGAATTAGGGTTCACGTCAAGGTGGCCGTTCGTAAGGAAGTAATCAACGGAACAGGCAACAAGTGGAGAATCCTAGTCTTTTTGGGCATTGAAGGTTGGTCTGCTTTGGGAAGGTGGACAGTCATTTCCCCAAATGTCGAGGGCCAATGTTATGTCGTCATTTGGAATGAGCAGTTGGAGATCGAGAAATACGTGGGAGGAAAGATTAGATGAAATGAAGGACGATATAGATAAGCACACAGAAGAGCTATTGCAGATTCCACCTGATTTATATGAAAAAGTGGCTTGAAACCAGGCGGAAGTTAAAAACAAGGGTCAAAAGCGATTACAGTAGGTCTTTATTTTTAAATTCATGCAAGACCTAAAGTCGTTATTTTTAAAATAGGTGAGGATTTCATAGCATATAGAATTGTAGGTATATTAGAGAAATTATTAAGTAAAAAAGCTTTGTAAACAGAAGAGACATTTAATAAGGGTGTTGTGTAGTTAGTTTAAAAAAGTGTCAACGGTACCCTTCCCCTATAGGGGGGGGACTAGGTGGGTAAAATAATTTCTGGGTATAGAGTGGAATGGGTGAGGGAAAGGAGATGGCAAATGCGAGAGCGAACCTATCTCACATTTGGAAATGTTTAGAGAAAATCCTGTAGTAGAGTACAAATCTTTAACTATTTTGGGGATAGAATAACTGATATATTTATAGAAAATATTTCATCATCTTAATACCAAGAATTAAGAGACTAATCTGATTTGTACTTAATATCAGAAATTAAACTATATATCCCCAAGCAAAATAAGGAACAAAATGTTATTTTTTTGATGTGATAAATACGTTTTTAAAATTAAGTTTTGAAAATGGTTTTGGTTCGCCTTTCCCCCCTCTCATTCAAAGTTTGCGCGAATTTGTGGCGAAGTATTATTTTGACTTTTTAAACAAGTATACTTCGCCACTAATTCGAGCTAACTGCAACTGTAAATGCAGGGTTGGAAAGACATATTAGAGCAACATAAGCTGAAAATTCAGAATCATCACGAATGCAGAATTCCATTTGATAAGGTTTAAAAAAATAGAGAGAGAATCTTTAATTCTAAAACATATGATTAGATATAATTGCCGAAAGATTGACTTAATTGCGGTGGGTCTGATGGCACCCATTTTTTTCTGAAAGTGAGGGGGAATATTTCCATTTAGGATGTAATTGAAAATTTTTTAATGAGAATATGGTTTGTTCCTAATTTACCAATTGGAATAATATTCAACCTTAATAGGTATTTTAGATTCTTAAATTATGACCAAGATTCTGAAGAAACCAGTTGTCCCCAACCGGAACATCGACCGTTGTTGATCCCTCTCCCACCTTACCATTCGCGGAGCCCGTGCACCTGGCGCAGAACACAAGAATAATTAAAATATATATTTTTTTAAATAATTTATATTTCAAATGGTTTATGATACATTTTAGATGACTTCTATTCATCTCTCTTAAAATAAGTGACTGAAATAAAATTTAATATATTTTCCTATTCGTTTATTTCTTCCAAAAAATGGCAAATCCTGTGGCCTGTATCTTGATCCCTGATATAAAATATTACGAGATGGAAAAAATATAAGATATAAAACAAATACAAACTCGGCATGTAATTGAAGCATTTAATAATAAATGTATAATGATAGACATTTACTTCCCTTCATTGGTCCAAGACGAAATATTTATCTTGGCCCGAAGGAAGATTTAAATACTTATAAAAGAAAATAAAAGTGAAAATATATTAAAACAAGAGCGATTTATAGGAACCATTATAAATTATTTAATAAAATTCTTTTAACTAGTGTTGTTAAAAGGCTCATTTTTGAACCGAATTTTACAAAGCTAACTCAATATTTTATAATAAATAACCTTAAGATTTTGTTCATAGTTTGAACATCTATTAACGAAATCTCGAGGCTTAGACAATATTTTTCTGGATAAATTGAGTTAGCCTTAGCCGTTTTTAAAAATCGGCTTAAAACCGTTTAACAACACTACTTTTAACGCCATCGAGTGGATTAATAAAAACACCGATATTCTTGCATATTGGGAAAAGAAAGTTAGAAACCCGAACTCTATATATTTGCAATAATAGCCATGTCTATCCCAGTTACACAGATTTAGACAGAGAAGCCTTATCAGGATTGAAATATATTTTATCACAATAGAGAATAAGATTGGGCAAAAAAAATTAGATTTTAATTATTGTAATAATAATAATTTTATGTTCAAATAAAAATTGACGATAAAATTTAAGGTTAACTTTAAACTGTGTTTTGTTCTTCTCATTCCTCTATTTTTTCATAAAATGTGATTAAAATTATTTGCTATATATGGAGGTACCATGTACAAAAATATTTTCCAATCTTTCACTTGAGAAAAACCTTAATTTAATTCCTTGACTTGAACAGAGCTAACCTTTAAAATTTTTCTTCCTACAAACATTAATCAACCTAGCATAGCTTAAAGATCGATACTCTATTTAAATATACGTAGGTTGTTAAATGAATTTATATAGATAACACCTACCTTCAATTAGGGCTGATATCGTCATCAAAACGTCTTCTTGGACTCCCATGGTCTTACCACTTGCGCTGAGCATTTGAAGCAAGGATGCCATCAGCAAATCAGATATTTGAGACAAATTCTCAGCTTTTATCTTTCTCAAAGCGCTCTGATGGGCGAAATGTAAATTTATAAATAGAAAATTAAATATATTTTATTGACAAGAATTAAATGAGAAATCTATTATAAACTGAATTGAATTATTTACAGGAAGATTTGGTTTAAAGATATAATATATTATTAAATACCTGAAGAACGGAGCAAAGGTGAGATTGCATCTCTAACAGTTGGACTTGATTCCCTTCTTGATTTTGAATGGAATCACCGATGTTATAGTTGAGGCTCGAGTTAAAATTTGGGTTGGACTGTGAGGAAAGCAGTATAACATGTTTCAATCGTTCCAGGCTCAGGCCCGTCACTTTGAGCAAAACGTTGTATTGGTCGACTGGGCAGGATTTCAAAAAATCTGCTATGGTTTGAAAACTGGCGCCTTTTAAGTTGTTGTGTTGACCGTCGTTCCTAAGTGTTATTTAGTTGAATAAAGTTAGAATAATCTATAATATGTAATATGTTTTAAAACAAATCATAAAACCTCTCAGAGGTGAGGACCAATCGTTCCAATATAATTTCGTATTGTTGGGAGAGCAAGAAGGTGGGAGGAGTTTCTGCGTTAGGATTGTTAAGCAACGCTTGATCGTAGGCCGCCTCCACAAGACTAGACAACGCCTGTTTAAAAGTAAAAAATATCACAATTCTAGTTGATTATTATCATATTTTAAAATATATAAGAGTTAAGTGTATTCTAATTACATTAATATAACCTAGACTGACTAACTATTAATTTAAAATCATGCATTCACTTGAAACCAAATGATTCTGGTATGTATAGCCCATGTTACAAATACGAATAGAAGAAAAATGTACTTCCATCTTAAGATATTAATCTTTTAATTCATTCATAATTTTAATAATATCAAGTAACTTTTTACAATAAATATATATGAAAAATGTCCAATTTTCACGTTCAATTGTCCTTCAAAAGATTTAATAAAAAGTTTGTAAATAATGATTCTAATATCAAAATAAAGTGTATGCATTCTATTTTTTAAATATTTTAATTTTTTACTTGTTGTTAATGTGGCTGTGAAAAATAATGAGTTTCTCCGATTTTTAAAAATTGTAAGCAAATTTACTAGGACCATATCTGCCCAGCAGTTTTACACCCTGTTTTAAAAGTAGTGCACTCCCGCGTTTGCTATTTGCTAAAAAAAGGCAGACTACCGCCACCACTATATTAGTGTTGTTAAACAGCCTGATTAAGATGTTAGACAAAAATATTATGTAAGCTTTCAGATCTTGCTCATAGATAGCAGAAAGTTGACCTCTATTTGTTAAATCTCGAGGCTTACAATATTGTTTTGGTTAAAATCTTAATCCGGCCGTATTTAAAAATCGACCCGAATTGAGTTGTTTAACAACTCTACTAAGTATTAAGAAAATTAGAGAGCTAACTGAGGTATTAGGAGCACTTTTGGACCCTCGCTTTCATTAGATAAACATAGTGAATGAATATTTAAAAGAAAATGTTACCCCAGTACAATTTACATGCCAACATGAGGAATCTCTGCTGCTTTACATGGACAACCTAGTAGATGGTGAAACCGCCAAGGTAACTTACGAATCTACTTTAAAATATGAGCTATTAAAAAAAATTCATCAACTCATCATCAGAATTTGGAGCAAAAATACAATAAACTAAACAAGACGCTTTGACTAGTCTAGAAAAAGGATATAATTCATTATTTTGGCCTCATAATTTAGAGACGATTGAGGTAGATTTTTGGAAAATAAGGACATTGGATCTTCCCAAACTCAATTTCAGCTAGAAGTATATATAGCGAGAGTATATTTTTAATAGCTTGGCCTATTTTGAACTCTAGAAAATTTTTATTATGCTCTTCAATTCTTAATAAATTTCAATACATGATAATTATAACCAAATAAAATCGTTAAATTCATGTTTATAATTTGAGTAATATTATTATAAATACAAAATTTGCACAATAAATTTTATTTCAAAAAATTGTTTCCAGTAAATTAATATGTTATTTTTAAAAAAATATGCGTCCAGTCTATCATATCTAAAAAGAGAGACACCGCTAAAAAACTGTCGGAGCAAAGGTCTATGTGTGGGAATCAGCTCTTATACAGAAATCTAATTAATTAAATATCTGACAGAATAAAGGCTGTTATTAGTGCGAAAAGGGACGCAAACATATAAGAATGGACGCAAATTACAAATCATAAAAAAATATGGACGAAAATCATAAAAAACTCTTTAATTTTTGAAAATTAAAATGTATATCACTATCTATTATAATAATCCTCAAAAAACGTCAATCAAATTTAGCTAATAGTATTCTTTTAAAAAATATTTGTCCAATAAAAATGATTATAGCGTGATCGGTCCAATAGTAATCATGTAACAAACTCAACATTCATTCAATTTTATAACATATTTTACCATCTTCATAAGGTTAAATTTTTTATAGTTATTCTTTTAGTCATATTATTTTTTTAAAATAATCAATCTGCAGGCTAAATATTCAATTCTTTTATAATTGGCTTCAAAGAAATTTAAACTTCAAACTGGGCGGAATAAAGGAGTTTTAATGTCACAGTATGTCTCTAGGAATTTAGGGGTAAAATAATTTTGTTATAAACTATTTTTAAAATATACTTTGATAACATCCATGTTAGGAAGAGGATTCTACGAATGGCATGCTATTTTGACTTCTCCCTTAACACTCAATCCTAATTGCTATGTATACCTAATAAATTAAGACCCTGGATTATGACCCTTGCCAATAATCTTCTAAATAGCCAAGGATACCACCACAGAGTTTTTGTGACACAATCAGGTTGACCCCGTATTTCATTTAAATCTATAATAGGAGGTCTTTGTTTAAAAGAGCATTTATGAAGGTCTTAAAAGCATTTAAATAATTTTTTATTATAAGTGTTTAGGTTTTATATGAAATTCATGTGTATATTTAATAGTTCCTCATTACTTAATTATATAAAATACCATGATATATTTCTAAAATAATCATTTTTATTATTATTCCAAAACTTATTCTATTCTCCAAATAACTTCTCTTTAAATCCAAAAATTTATTCAATAATAATTAATTTATATTTTATTTTAAGCTGCTTCCAAAATGTTTTAAAAAAACCCTTAAAATTTTCACAAATTAATAACAACACTTTGGACACATATTTTCTTTTAACCATATATATATTGTTTGACATATAGTACATCCTTATTTTCCAGCACCTTTTAATGTTACGATCTGAGTTATTGTAATATATTTATTGTATGGTTTAAGATTGCAAAGATTATTAGCAGTGTAATATTTTGAAGAATTTAAATTTAAATCTAAAAATAAAAAATTAAATAATTAGAATGTATGTTATTCATAACTTATTATAACATTTTTGATGAAATGTATAACCTTTTTGTTTTAATTATATATAATTTGAATATGATTGAAGTTAACCTCCTATTATTTGTTAACTTAAAATATTTTATTTTTTCTATTGTAATTTAATATCAATGTCTTAAATTTAATTTTATAATTTGTAACTAAGTAGTAAATCATTTGGAAAGGTGGTGATTTGTTTAAAATTTAAATTATAATGAACATATTTTCAGCATGGTACTTTTATATGTATTCATGAATTTCATATAATGATAGGTAAATCAGATATTTCCCCTTCATTTGATGATAATTTTGAAAAATTTTCCAAATGATATAAAATGGCAAAAAAAATATATACATATATTAGACAGATTTAATTCTTATAAATCCCTTACTATTTTTCTGGATCCAAGGAAAAAATAAATTATTATGGGTTTTCCTGGGCTTGGGAAATATTTTTCACAATTAATATGGACTTGGACGTAGCTTGCGAAACATTTTTCAAAATTAATATAGTCTTACCTGAAAATTTTTGGGTTAGAAATTGGCCTGAAAATTTCTTTTGAAGACATGGCAAACCTGATCAAAAACCTAGGCCCATACAACTTTCATATTCTGATTATATTTTTTGTGACTTTTTATATATTTTATTTCAGTTCTCAACTACCAAAATTATTATGGCAGGTTTGAGAAATTTTTCCAAGTGCTGGACCTGGCTTGGGAATTTTTTTAATATTAGGCATAGGTGTAATATTTAACACAGAATATTTATATGGCCTTCAGGTAAAAGCTAATTTAAATATATTTTTATCCAAAAAAATAGTATTCACTCTTAGTCTAAATGGGTTGGCCTTGGTCTGAAGAATAAAAATGATTTTTAGAGATTTACCTATCTCCAGGTTTGAGAAAAAATTTTGAAAATTACTATGGGTTGGCCAGGTTTGAGAAATATTTTCACAAAATTATTATGAGTTGGACTGGGCTTGGAAAATATTTTTATAAATTATATTGGGCTGGGCTTGGGGAAATATTTTCAAAATTATTGTAAGCTTGGACGTTTGATAATTTTTTTATTAACTATGGGTCAGACATTGGCCTAAAACAAGTTATTTTGCAGGCCTGGGGTCGGCCTGATCAAAAAACCAAAGCCCATGAAAATCTGATTTTGATTGTATTTTTAAATTCATTATGATTATTTAAATATTTTATTACGGTTCTCAACTACCAAAATTATTATGATCTTTCATTGGGTTTGGAAGAATTTTTCAAAATTATTATGGCTTTGTATTTTGTCTGGGAATTTATTTTAATATTAAATATTAGGTATAAGTGATCAATAATATTTAACAAAATATTGGTATTATCAAATAAAAGCCTTAAATTTATTTTAACTCAAACCATAGTATTTACACTTAGTTTTAATGGATTGAACCTGGCCTGAAGGGGGGGGAGGAGTAAAAAGAATAAAAATTGGATATTATTTTCAAATAACAGGTAACAACTAGCATAAAAGTAAGAAGAAAATTCTCATTCCCCGTCATTTTTGACGGGCTATCTACTAGTTTAATACTAATTAATAAAAAATTAATAGATAATTTTTATAAAATTTCAATAAATAAAAATCTTTCTTATTTTATTTTTATTGGAATTTTAATATACCAATAAATAAAAAATCGAAAGGGGTATATATATATATATGTGGGCTAGTACATTTTGGGTTCTAATAAGATGTAACATTTTTATTCACTTTTTGATTGTGTCATACTTCTAGGTATGCCAATTAAGAAATTCATAAAAAAATTTACCCAACATATATTGACAGCTATTTTTGCTTCCGAAGATAAATTTTCAACCAACGCGCTGAGCAGAGGATTCAGGATGCTAGGGTTTAAGACTATCTCAGGTAAAAACTCGCAAATCCGACCTATTTTGTCGATAAAATAAATATTAATAATGGTTTTCTTGATTATATAGGTTTGAATTTCTATAAACAATGATATGCAAACAAGCCAACTTCATGCTTTGTTAACTTCTGATTTCGAAAATATACAAATTTTATCCTTATGCTTAGACCAATCTATTATTTTATTTTATCAAAAAGCAAAAAATTTCGATGATTCACAACTATATAATCACATTAATTGTGATAAAAAGATAAACCGATAGTCCAAGACGTGGTATCCCTAACCAGCAATACGGAGTCTTTTAACATAGGTACTATATGAGGTAATGCTTGTTCGACTAGAGGCTTCAATGTATCCGGGGAAGGTCCTTCCATTATACAACCTTGTTCAATCAAGCAATAATATAAGAAAGGGTCTAAAAATATTATACTTACAAAATCACGAATCGAATAATTGTAATTTCGTATTTGTACGAATCGAATAATTCTATGTTCATAGTATTTGTACGAATCGAATAATTCTGTATCGTACGAGAATCGAATCATTCTAAATTCGTTTCGTACGAATAGTAAAAATATTATTTGGTTTGATTCGTCGAATATTGGATTTGATAATTAAATTTTTTAAAAATATTTTCAAAAATGAAAAAATGGTTTATTAAAATTTAAAAAAGGAATTTATAAAATGTAAAAAAAACATAAGAAAAATAAAAGTTGTGCAAGGAACATGTTAGATAATTTCATATATTTCTGAGAAATATCTTACAAAATTTCGACCATTTACAAATATTTCGAATAATTTAAAATTATAATAATATATCGATCGAATTACAGGTAAAAAATTTGTTAAAAATGCTAACTAAATATTTAATTTAATTAAAATTATCTACCTTTTCTGGTTCCTTATTTTAATCCTTATACAGTTTATATTAATATGTTTCTGCGATGAAGAGGGTAAATATAAATCTTAATGGGCGATATAATATCTTAAATGATAAAATAAAACATAAATCTTAAACGGCAATATAATATCTTAAATGATAAAATAAAACATAAACTATAAATACAATAAGCTTTAAGTCTTTCATTTCTATTCTTTCAAATGCATCGCAATATATCGTTTAATGGCTATTCATTCGATATATCATAAGTTAAAAGTTAGTTTATGAGAGTACGATAATAAATTTTGGGATAATTCTGTCAAATTAAATGTGGCATGAGAGAATAGTAAATATCGAAGATAGGTATAAAATAAAATATAATTCTAACACCACAAATTATTAATGAAGTTGTAAAAAGGGAATAAATGGGGTTACAATATAAGTTCACAATATGTAGAGATCTGCAAAGTTAGGCCTGGCTCGGGTTTAATTATATTTAAAATAATCGATTCGGGTTCGGGTCGGGCCTAATATTTAAAAAAATTCGGGCCGGGTCGGGTCGGACCTTGGAATTTTTTTTAAATATATCTAAATTTATCAATTTTATATTGAATTTTTTATGTAAAATAAAAATATTTGATTTTAATTATAGAAACTAAACGACATATAACATATGTCTTTTATTTTGAGTAATTATAAAAATTAATTTCTATATTTAAATAAATTCGGGCCGGGTCGGGTCGGTAAATTTTTTTGAAAAATTTAGGGTTTGGGCCGGGCCGGCAAAACCTTTTAAAAAAATTCGGGTTCGGGTCGGGTCGGCAAAACTTTTTTAAAAAAAAATTCCAACCAGGCCGTGCTTGAAAAATTAGGCCCGATGCAGATCACTACAATATAGGGCATAATTTGCCATGCCTTCTAAAATTGAGAACTGTTTTCCCAACTTAATAAAAAATATTAGTGCGAAAAATTAGAAATAAAATAAAATTAGTTAGGCTCTAAAAAGGCCTGTTACAAATTAAAGCAACTAAACCGAAAGCCATAACGGAGGCATCCCTAGCTCTCCAATCCCGTGTGTTGAATATGTTAGTAGTAACGAACGGTAATATAGGTGTGACAACTTCATCCCCACAGCAGCATGACATTAGCATAAGACACACGCTTCCCGCTTTGCAAGGGTTCCATTCATCCTCGTCCGCGTTTTCATCCTTTTATCATATTATTATAATATTATTTTTAAAAAATAAATCAATACAATTTTATGAAATAAAATATGTTTAGTAAATCTGAATACTTTCTTGGCTTTTTTCGAAAAATAACCAAGTGAAAAGGGTAATCTGATAAGTATGATTTTAAATATACTATAATATCTGATAGAGATCTGCAAAGATAGGTCCGGCCCTTATTTAAAATAATCGTATTCCGGCCGGGCCTAATATTTAAAAAAAATTCGGGCCGGGTCGAGTTGGACCTTGAATTTTTTTTTAAATATATCTAAATTTATCAATTTTATATTGAATTTTTTATGTAAAATAAAAATATTTGATTTTATTTATTGAAACTAAACGACATATAACATACATATGTCTTTTATTTTGAGTAATTATAAAAATTAATTCCTATATTTAAATAAATTGGGGCTGGGCCTGGCTGGTAAATTTTTTTTAAAAAAATCGAGTTTGGGCCGGGCCGGCAAAACTTTTTAAAAAAATTTCGAGTTCGGGCCGGGCCTAAAATACTTTTTTAAAAAATTTCGGTCCGGGCCGGGCTTGAAAAATTAGGCACGATTGCAGATCACTGATCTGTATAAAAATCTTATTCTATCTGATCTGTAAATTTAAAATAATGAAACAAAAATAGTTCTCAAAATAAGCTCTTTCAAATTTAAACACGCTCATGTTCTAATCTAAAGTGAAAATATGGCATGTTCTAATAAAGTGAAAATATAGCGTTTAGATGTATATCAGTCAATATATTGAATTTATATTTCAGATAACTTATATCACCTTTAACTTAATTATTTTAGAGCCAAATTACTAACCACCTCATCTTTAAACGGTATAAAAATTATAAACTTGTTTAGTCAAGGTTTCAGTGAGTATTGGTAATATGAATGGCAAAGCCCCCTTAGCGTAAAATTTGCAAACTCTGATCGAAGCAGGCGACTCTTTGGATAGAGGTTGGTCCGACAATATTTGGAGGGGATTTTGTTCAGTATCGGACAGGGATAATGCGATCTCTTCATCGCAAACGGTAGACCAAAATTCTATGCCTTGAAGGGATACTTCTTCACTACTACTTTTCATCGCGTTCAGTGTTATCTGATTGATAGATAAAAATTATTATATTGATTATATAGCACTTAAACCACCTGAGGAATGACTACAGTTAGCACTTATTTAAAGTAAATACGTGTTAAAAAACCACCTGAATTGCCAAGGTTATAATTTTTAAACTTCTCATAACCCTAAACTAAAATATATAAACAGGAAAAATAAACTAACCATTCCTAAAATTGCCAGACCAAATATAATAATTGAAATATAGCAAAAATACAAAATCTTTAATTTGTTCAGCGTTTAATGTATTGATTGTTTTATGTAGCAAGACACGACTTGTAGAAAAGAGAAAGAAAGGCAATGTCTACCCTTACAATCGACATATGAAATATCTAGCGCACAGTGCCAGTATAATTTCGCATCTTAAACGACTGCAATTCTATATTTTTCATCACTTAACGACATACCTAAAATCTGACTAGGTAAAGTATCAAGGTTGTGATGTCATTTATTGTATTTTGAACTATACTAAGCAAATGATATTATTGAGATGAGCAATCTCTAAATTTACTACTTAATACATTAATAAAAGGTTCAGTAAATTCTATTTGTTTATTGGAAGGAGTCATAACACATTTTTTCCCTTCTTCTAAAATAAAGAAGATCTGATAGAGGAATGAGTTGTTTTACTAAGTCATGGGTCAATCTAGGTGAAAGAAAGCTAGCTAGGGAAACTAATGAAAGAAAAATGAAGCCTATTCCACCCATTTTCGTAGGTATGGATGCTAATTTTCAACTGAAATCACTAAATTAAGTCTCCAGGGTGTCATAAATTGTTTAAAACTTTCTTCTAAGCCCAATAAGTTTTAATAATTAGCATGTAAAACCAGAAATAAGTTTGGGTAAAAAAGATTTTTAATAAGAAACAAGAGCTGTTGTTTAGGTAGTGCATCAAAATTTGCATGAATTCGTGTAAAGCCTCCTAATAGGTTTTAAAAGAGTTTGAGGTGATCAGCGGATAGATCACCAAACATTGAGACTACTACGTTCAATAACCTTAAAAGATAATGATGCTAACGTTTGAATTCCAAGGTAGCAAATTTCTATTTATTAACTATTTCAATACCAATACTAGAAAATAAAAATTCAATATAATAAACTGCACTCTGAACATTCTGTAAATTGTTGTATAGAGTACCATATATTCATATTAAAATTAAATTTGTATTTGAGATCTTTAAAATAGGAATTATAACCAAGATTAAATTAAAAGGGCCTACCTCGTTGAATGCCTTCCTGTGAATCTAAGCAAAAAGATAATTAGAAGGAGTTCTGGAATCAAAATAACTTTTAAGAATTGGTAATATTCGAGTAAGTGAGATTTAAAAAAAAAAATAAAGATTTTCCTGTAGATTATAAAAAGCGTTTCGAAGGAGAAGTTTACACTTTATCTGAAGTAGTTATAAGGTTATTTCTAACGGCATTAGCTGATTTCGCATGCCCTTTAAACCCAATATCATATTTTAATATTTTATTGCAAATTGTTGTTAATCTTAAGTAAGGTGTTTTGTTGATCAAGTAAATTGAGGTCTAAAAGATCCTAAATATGGGAAGATTTAACTCCATCTAATTATAAAAGTAGGTTGGTCTATAAGAGCAATGTTATCCGTTGAACAAAAAAAGGGGCCTTCACTAATATTCCCTGCATTTATTCTTTGGCTAATAATTTAGCTTCATATTTATCTGGCAAAATATTGATATTTTTAAAAGTAAATTAATTCACTGATAGACAACTGAGAAAATTGTATGACTCTGTTTTGACAGTTATATTAATTTTGCTTTTTGAAGATTTTTTTGGTTTTTCAAGAATTTTATAACTAAATAATAAAAAACCTATCATAATTGTTGTGAATTCCAATTTCTGATAATTTTGATAAAACTAGATTTAAAAATCAGCTAGTGATACTCGGCTCCATTAGATATTCTATAAATGGTTGAAGGTCTGTGGGCATTTAAAAATGAACTTCCCAGTATGAGTGCTTTGCGACTATAGAAAACCCTTTGGTGGAAACGACAAGAAAGAAATTTGCCAAAGCTATCAAGATTAACAAGGAAAATATTGGCAATTCGTGCAACTAGTGCCCCCCCATCGCAGATCTAATAATATTCTATCATAAAAAATATATGATTTCCTTCCTTCCTTCCTTCATTTTACTTCTATATCTTTCATTTTTTTTATCTTCTGTACAAAGATTTAGCATTGCTGAAAGGTTTTTAGAACAAAGAAGAAAGTGTTTGAATCCAGAAAATGTCGATTCATTATTATTTTTGCATTATTAATTACATATAATATAAATTTTATATTTATATTATTTTCTTAAATATTTTATTTGATCAAATAAATTTCCCATAATTTAAATTGAATATTTTCCTAAAAACTTTTTGTAGAGGTGTAATGCTGAATTTTTTTTTTATTAGATGCTTTAAAAATTGAAGGAATAGCCATAATTAAAATTTATAGTAGCGGGGTTGGGTTAAAAATTTTTTAGAAATAATGGGTGGGCGGATAAAAAATTTTAGACTAATGGGCGGGCGGGTAAGGAATTTTAGACTAATAGGCGGGCGGAAGTGTATATTTGTTTTTGAAAACTATGGGCGGGCTGGGCGGGCAGGTTAATTTTGTTAAAACATTGGGTGAGCGGGCTTATGGTCCAAAAACCCGCCCAATGCAGACCTCTAATATATATATATCAAAAAAACTAATTAAATATGTAAATCAAATTGATTTGTATTTTAATATTCTTTTAAAATATTAGGCATTTGTATTGTAATAAAATAAAAATGATTTGAAGATATAATTAAAATATTGGTAATTTAACTTTTCATTTTTAATAAATTTAATGCAGAATAATACTTTTGTAGCTTAATAAAAAAAAATTTTAGATGGGACTGGACCGACCGGACGGGACCGGACCGTTGTAAACACTATACACAGATCTTTATTTCAATCACCTTAAATGTGAGATGTTTCCTAAATCACACATCTATTTTATCTAACTCTACGTACTATGTCATCAAAAGGGATGAAATGACACATATCGGAGTAGAAAAAGTTATCAAAACCTTTTTTAAACAAATCCCTAGGCGATTTGTCTAAATTAAGTTTATTATTTAATTACCCTCCCACGCATCAATCCTTTTTTTAATTTAAAACTATCTTAATATACCAAAATTCTTTTACGCTCTAAAATCTGTAACGATCTACAAATGCAGCAATTTATTAGCTTCTCATGAAGATCAAATTAAGGATCTCGAAAATATATTGAATATAAAATTCATACTCATCATGGCTTCAGGTCACACTCCCTATCAAGTCAGGTGGCATCGGTATCCGATCTCGGCTATAACTTTCTTTTTCAGCCTTTATTTTATCCTGTCTATCCACTCAAGATAGAATAATGAATAGTATAATAGTGCGCTAAGGTGAATTAATTTGTGTAGAAGCCAAATAATTAACGAGAGCGATAATTTTAAATTAATGAGTAGGAAAAGTAATGTAGCGGCGAAGGTGGAGTATAATATTGTGAAATAAAATTGCGTTGAAAAATTTTTGATAAGATAAACTCGAGTGCTTAACACAACTTTCGCCATGCTAAACACACGTTCAACTGGTGAAGAGGATGGGAGGGTTGTTTTAAATAAATGAAGATTTTAACTAAGGGAATTTTTTAAAAATTAAAAAATAATAATTATATTGAAAAAATTTAATAGATCATCTTCAAAGAATCTTTAATATATTAAAAATTTACATATAAATAAAAAGAACATGAAAAATGTTCTTTAATAAGGAACAAATATATAAATTAAAAGGGGAATGCTTAGTGAATAATTCGGGCTAAGAATTTTTAAACATTAAATTATTAGAACGAATAATTGTGAAAGCAGGTTTTGCTGGAGTTTATAAAAAGCAGGGATATCTTTTTTTTTCCTTATTGATTTTTAAACCGTTTTGAAAAGATTCAGAGCAGCATGCCCAAATGAGCAGGTAATATAGCTATTATGAGTATAAAGTGGTTTATCACTCATTAAGTAAGAATATTTTAGATATTTTAACGACTCAGCCGTGAGAAGAGGGTCACATATATTATTAGAAGTGGCAAGGGTATGCAAGTAAAATCTCAGACCAAGGGCTTGCCTGATTTTTAATCTATGCTGAACGTGGATTCAAGAATGCAAGAGATATGCCTTATTAAGATATGTGGCAATAAGTGTGTTAATTTTATTGTGTCGATTAATTTTAGTTATGGGTCATTCCATGACAAATCAACCACGATTCGGCCGACCCCCTTCGATTTTTTCAAAATTTGGTAAGCAAAGAAAGGTCAATGTAACTAAGAAATAGCCAAAATTTTAGCCTCCTAACAATTATATTTTTGAAGATATTAGGGTTCAAAGTGGCAAAAATGACGAATTTTTACCATTATCTGCCTTCATTCAATTAAGCATATCTTAAAAACTACATAATTGTAAATAACAAATTTAATATTAAAATTACGTACAAAGATTCTACTTATTTTTTTTTCTAATTTCCGGTCATTTTATTTAATATATAAGGACTAAAAACGATTTTTTGGAAATAATACGACCTTCAATTTTTTAAAAAATTTAGTAGACATTATTAAACTCTTCCTTTATTTATAAAAAAAATTAATCTGGGACGCGGCCATCTTCATTCTCAAAATCGATAAAAATGTTTAGAAAAGTGTATAAATATTTGTATAAAATTATAATCAGTTTTTAATGGTTTTTTTTGAACTATTTGATATAATTTAAAGGATTATTCATCTTGCAAGTGAAAATAACAATAAACGGGGCTCATTCAATTATAGAAATTGTCTATCGATAAAAGAAATTCAATTTATTGCTTTATTTATAATTTATTATAAAATTTTTTGCCAATATGACATATATCTAATGAATATTAATAATATGTTTAATTAAGTTTCGAGTTCTTGAATATATGAATCAGAATCTTGTGCATT